ACATTATGTAATATATACGGTAATATTTTGTAATTTAATATACTGTATTTTATAATTTATTTTTGATGTTGAATGAAGAAAAATGTAAACATAAAACATTTTATAAAATAGAAATTGTAATAAATTCAGAAGTAACTTAATGCATTTTATATTAAATATAATGTTTTAAGAGTTTTATACTGAATATTACTTTAAATATATACATGTTTGAGAAATTTTTGATTAAAAATTCAAATTTATAATTTCCAGCAACTAGGAATGACAACTAGAAAGATTTACTAAATGATTTTTAATGTAAATTATTAAAATTTTACAAGAAATTAATAATTTTGCAATTCCGAATGAATCTAATTGTGTTTAAATCGAGCATTTAAACTAGCATTAATTCATCAAAAGAATTTTTAATAATTTTCACTTCAATGAACTTTAAACAATTAAAATGTTATCTACTCAACATTTTGATTAAACATTATATGACAATTTCTATACAGAAAATTTTCAATGTTTATAAAGGTATGAATGTTTTCCAAGATGCTTGAACAGCTTTGTATAATTGATTAATTCTATATTAAGCAGAATAAACGAAAATTTAAATTGCATTGAAGTTTTAAATAAGGAAATTGATAAATTATATCTTCATAAATTGTATTTAATGTAAATACAGTAGTTTCATTTTTTGTTCTTTGAAGTTTCACTTTATGTTTCATTCATGCGAATGGCAATTTTTATATTTTATCTATAATCCGTTACATGAATTTTTAAACTAAGTAAACCATTTATTAATATAGTTACAGAATGTACGAATCGATTTTAGAAAGAAATTTTTTAATCTGTAAATCTTTAATTAAGGTAAAGAATTACATTCATAATTCATATATGTGAATACATTATTTTAATTTAAGCATGTTTGTTTTTCTTTTCCTTTTTAATTTTGTCTTTATTTGGAGACTTTTTTTATCTGAATTGCTTTCCGGTACGGATTATTTGAATTCTGTAGTAAAAATGACTTTATTTTTTTATATTTTATTAAATTAATTATTTGAAACGAAGTTTTATATTTAATAATTGTTAATAAACTTGTCAATAATGATTAAAATATAATTTTTTTATGAAAGAAATAATGAAAACGTAAGAAAAGAATTGTTTAACGTACTGTACGTAAGTACATACTCTGTAGGTATTCTTTTTTTGTTTCTGACAAGCATACCAAAACTAAAAGAACAGCAAAAAGTATCAGAGTAGTCTGATACCTCTACTTAATTGCGTTTATTAGCATTGTAGATTTCTATCATCCTCTTATACTCTTTTCGCTTCATATAAGACGCGATAGGTCACGAATATATTCATTTATTCAGCTGTATAAGAAAAACTAAGTAAATATACTCATTTACTAGATGACTGAACCTGAATAAATTCGAATTTTAACGTTAATTCTATACTTATCGATTTATAAATTCACATAGATTTACTTATTTTTGTCTAAAAGAATATTTAATGTATTAAGGCATAAGTTTGGGCTAAATAAGCTTAACTTTTAAATAAGACGTGTGAATGAACTACTATTTTACGACACATAGAGAAACGAATAGAGATAGAAGACTTAATAGATGAAAAGTATGAAAAGCTAACAGTGTATAAAATATATTTTTCCAGGATCTAATTATTCGCTTATTCCAAGTGAGAGCTTATGCTAAAAGTTCATTATTTCTATTTTTTAATAAAGTAAAAGAAAAGTTCTTTGTAGCATATTAATGTCTCAAGTTAAGATATTATTTAAAATAAGTTTTTAACTTATATGATTTAATATAAAATTTATAGAAAAATTCTTAATGTTGTCTTAATGTTTTAAAGTTTGTTGAAAATGTAACGATATTTATTCAACTTTTCTTTCAAATACAGTTTTAAATTTCTTATATTTATTAAAAGATACATGTAAGGCTATTTTAGTAGAAACTTACATAATAAAAAATTTGCAATGAAAAACTTTGTCACTGCTTGCCATTTACTTGCACAATTTATTCTAATTCAATTTTAAAATTAATTATTATCATTTATTTTTAATTAAATTTAATTTTAAAAATTCCAGTATCTAGTGATTTTTTTTCCAATTTTTTTCTAATAATATAATAGCAAATACATTAGAATAACAATTTCTCTTTAGTGGTGAGAAAATTAATTATCTTCTTTTATATTGTCACAGCCAACTGTTTCTAGATTTTTTGCATTTTAACAATAAAGTCAATATAATCGAGTGCTACTTCTAGATAAATTTGAGATCACATTAAATATACTACAGATGATAATGTATTTAATATATCTTATAAGAATATTCTGTTAAGTGCATATTAGAAAAGAGATAATGATAATTTATAATGAAGAAAATTTTCTGTTTAAGAGAGAGAGAAAAAAACTAATTAAACTTTTACAAAAATTTTCTATTTTATATAAAGATTTGTCTAGCATTAATATATTATTTCTATCCCGATATACATATTTTATGTATGAAAGTGAATCTAATTTTCTATTCGCGTATATATATATATTATGTATGAAGCACTTAATCCATGTCAGAAATAAATCAATATTTTTGACCTATATGAGAAGTTTAATACTTTAATGAAATGCATTACGAAATGTCACTTTTCATTTTAAGCAATCTTTTAAATCGTTAAAAGAATTAGTACTTTATTCTGTTTTCTGCTTGAAAATAAATTACTTCTGAATTAAAATTTAAAATAGTATACTTAATATTTCAACAGTTTTTCTTTCTCTTAGACATTTTTTACTAAAGGAAAGACTTTAGGATTGTTATAATTTTAATAAAAAAATTATATTAAGAATATATAGAGATATATTTTTTTTATTTTTCACTCCAATGGCAAATAAACTGAGAGCACTTTTCTGGGTTTTTCCAGTTATTTCATAAGAATATTTTCTTAAAGGTAGATGTTAGAGAAAGATAATTTAGTTGTTTTTTCAAGTTTTCTGGCTCAACAAATTTTGAACATAAATCTAATTCCTCTTGCACAATGAACAAATTTTAAACTGCTACATATTTTATGTTAATTTTTGTACACAAAAAATTCTATTTTTATGAAAGCTTACTAATAATATATAGTAAATACTAAATCTTTTTTGCATTATAATATTCAAACTTATTCGCTATAATAATAATGATATGTATTCAATTTTTTAATAACATAATAGGTAATGATTTATGAGATTAATACACAAAATTTTCGATAAAATTATTATTTTTTAAAAAGTTTTTAATGCAAAGTATAATTAAGATTTTTTAAAAAAGAAATTTCTTTTCTACTTTATAATTAAAATCCCTTTCTTTACATTTTAAAATACGTTTGGTTAAATTATATTTTACACTCGATAAAATTAGATAAAACTCTTTTACAAATTTTTAGATAAAATATATTGTATTTATAACGCTATTATCACACGAATAAAGAAAATTGCCTTTCACATAGGAATATTAACTCAGAATATAAATGAAAAATATTGAAAATTGTGTTAAATAGATAAATGAAAATGTATATTTTTGTTAAATTTAAAACAAAATAATCTAAAATCTAATTCAAAATCTATTTCAAAAAGATTTTTGTTCAGGAATTGTTGAGAAGCGTCATTAAAAATGATCAAATGATCATTCGATATTGTTTTAATGACATTTCAGCAACATCCATTTTAATATGCACCTCGCATATAGCCTAACAATGAACTATCTATGCAAGCAATTAATTAATATAAGAAAGAAGAATAAAAGGAATTTTAAAAACAATAATTTATAACAATTTATATTACAGATACAATAAAAGGAAGACTGAAAATTCCTATTATGATGTGAATGACGAATCTCCTACAGGAAAGATTTTAAAACATTTTAAATATAATTACATAACTGTATGACTTGATCTTTGTCTGTTTCGTTACATACCTATCAATTATAATTCCTTTTTTTTATAAAGTTTGTTTCTGTTTAAAATATTCATTTTTATGATAACTATATTGCATTATTATTATATTGCTAGCTTATTGTTAATTATTAATTATAGTTTAAAGTTAAATTTATTTTTTGCATATTAAGATACACTTAATATAAACTAAGTTAATACTAGACATACAATAATCTGTTGTTTATTTATTTATTTTACATATAATTGGAAATGTCTTACAATAATGGATTTCCATCCCTAACAACGAATAACCAGCATTGTAGAATAATATAACAAATCTAAATCAAAATTTGAATAATATCATTTACTGTTGAATAAGAATCAAAAGTTCATTAAAGTACTTTAAAATGTATTATATTTTACTTTAATTACTTAATGTATAAATAATAATAGTAAAATTCTAATTCAGAAGTGATTTATTAATTGTAGTACCAGAATACTGAATATAATTTCATCTAGGTTGTTTACATTAGTTTTACTGAATATGAATTTAGTATTACACTATTTATTACATCGTAAATTGCATTTTTTTATTTTAAAATGTTTATTTCAAACGTTTATATGAACACTTGTACATTGCATTAAACGAAGTTTTTGACAGTAAATTGCGAAATTATAATAAATGAATTTTTATTATATTTTTACTTCCTTCGCAACGCATTTTCTCACAGAAATTTTTTGATAAAATGGTGTTTCTATATTTGATTTATGATAATTTAAGAATTTAGCAATTCATTTTTTTGGCATAGAAAAACAAAATTAATAACCAAAAATAGGGAGCGAATTATAAAATTATTTTCAAAAATTATTTATTTAATAAATTATTAAGATAATTTGCCTTTGAAGTATTATTCATCTCTATTGTGCTTTATTATTATTTAATAGAGTAATAGATTTAAAATCTAAATTAAAAAATTAATTTATCAGTAACAAGTAGAGATAGCTGTTGTTTCGTCATCAATAATAACACCGTAACAGACAAGATACTATATCTATTTGAAATAACTGCAATACCGAACACACTATCTGTTTCACTCTCAACAGTTGAAGTACCGTCAGATTATTAATGGCTATGGAATGAATAGGATGTATGTATTCTATAAAAATAATGTAAGTAAAGCATTATTTTAACTATAAATTTAATTACATATTTCTACTATATAAAATTTTCGTGTGTAAAAATGAAATTTTTACATTAATAAGTCAATTATTTTTTAATTTGACAATTAGGTTGTTATGTCAATTGATTTCTTTAACAAAATTGATTACATTGTTTATAATTCTAAGTAATTTTGTTTTGAAATCAATCATTAATATCTATTTATATTGAAAGTAATGTAGTTCTAGAAACGAGTAAACTTTATCGACAATGCAGGTGTGTCATTTTAATATTTGTTTCTATTTTGGAATCAATTAAAGGTAATGCCATCTCTTCAATTAATGTAATTTTTATGCCTAATACTTTCGTATATTCTTTCTGTTTACCAAGACAAATGTGATAATAAAATAAATATGCAATTCGTATCATTATCTGTAAAATATTGATATTAATTGTATAATTTTAAAGTATTTAAATTGTGTATATAAGCATTATTTATACTAATAATTATTTGATTAAAGCTTTAAAATTTTTTTAGTTACTTAAATTAGAAAATAAACTTAGTTTTATCATTTTAAAACAATAAATTTCTTTGTTTGGATTTTTCTATTTATCAGATTATTATTGATTAACAGAAATTATCTCTATTGGAATGATTTATTTAAAGTACTTCTTTTTATTTCATCTTTTCATCGTTTCACAGGTATGAATTATATTTTAAATAATTTAAATTTATTCATTCAATTTAAAAAAAACGTTAAAAAATTATTATTTTATTAAAACTAATTTAATTATCTTATGATTTTTATCTATATAGGGTCAAAATATAATCTGTCGTGGACGAAATTGGTATTTTAGCAAAGATATTTTTGCTGTTTATCACTGTTTATTGTGTTTTTATTACATTCCTGAACACATGTTTCCAGAAGGAAAAATTAAATTAAGGTATTGTGTAAACTTATAAATTACAGAAGAATTATTGGTAATAGAAAAATTTTATAATCCAATTAATAATGCCTGATAAATTGTGGTTATCTTCAATAAATAATTACGTTGTTAAGTTAAACGATTTTATATAGCCTCAAATATTTATCTTTTCTAACACAAATAACATTAGACCTACATCTAATTTTAATTTTTTCAAAAACGTAAATTTGTCTCTTTTCTTTACTAAATATTTTTAATTTAATAAATACGTTTTTAGGTTTTGTCATAAAAATAATATTTAGATAAAATATCTAAGTCTTTTAAATTCCCTAGATCTTTAATTCTCTTGCTAAACATTAAAAATTTCACTGTAAACATTTACTTCATGCAAAACAATTACTTTACGTTCCATGAGCTAAATTTTTTCAAATAAAATTAATTAAATTTATAGAAAATATTATTAATTTCGTAATCATGCTATTTTGATGATAAAAATCAAATAATTAAAATGATTATATCGTATAATAAATTAATCTGTAAATAATACTCACTTGAAAAAATTAGAGATTTTAAAGACTTCTTCGTATAATGGAATGATACATTTACTTTAAAATATTTTGTTTGCTTATTTATTTTTTTGTTTCGTTGCACTATGAACCAAAAAACATTATAAATTTCTTTATAATTTAAATATACATGGAAATTTATTATAGTATTCAAAATACAAAAGGAGAGAGAACGTAAATAAATTTAACTTTATAATAATGTAACATTTCTCAAAATCTGCTTTATTTTTCTATTTATATGTATATAAATTTTATATATTAAGATTTTATACAATATAAAATAGATTATTTTTTTAGAGTGTTGAGAGGAAAAAGCACTGGATACAAATTAGATGAATGTAAAATAATTCAGAAAACTTTTAAAAATGATAAATTAGCACAATCTTTACAAATTTTTTTGTTTTTTTTCCTATAATTTCACAATTTTTAAGTATAATCAATGTGGATTTTGTTATTTAAATATCGAAAAAATATTTCTTTTGTAAACAGTAAAGGTCTATCAGAATGTTAAGCTGAGACACGTTTCTTCTCTCGACAGCTTTGCCATTTCAAGTCAATAGATGAAATTTTTATAAAATATATTTAAATAATTTATTAAATTAACAAAAATTAATAAAAAATATTCTTATTTTTTGGGATATTTTGTAATATTGTGGATTCCTGTTTTAGAGTGTTTCTGTTATCTGCAGTCTTTGTGACTTTGTGGGTTGTCGTTTCTAAATTTATATTTATGTTTTATAAAATATTATGGNATCGACATACGCCTCTTCTACGTATTATTTTCCTAATAAAATCATTTTCTATTAATATTTAGTAAAAAGAGTGCTGAAACAGTTAAAATTAAATTTATTTGGTTTAGAAGTAAATAACAACTAAATTAATTTCGGTGTTATATAAAAAATATAAATTTGATTACTTGAAAACCTATAAATCAATATGTAAGTTAATTGTTTGAAAATTTCACATCTGTTAAGCATAATATGATTTGATGATGAATTTATAATTTATTTGACTTTATAAAAAGTAGAAGAATTGTATATAATCAAATAACACTGTTGAGTAAAAGAAAATTTAAAGCTCTTGCTTACTTTAATTAAATAAAGTGATTGTACTTCAGTATTTGCCTAGTAACTATGCATTAGATCCTTCCAATTTATTTCATAAATTTTTCAAAATAAAAATGTTATATTTAATTAACATTTTACTTGAGATAGAAATATAATAATTCTTTACATTATTTAATTTTTAAATAAAGGAGTTCAATAAACGCATTAAAGAAAATTTGAAATTGCAATTTTCTTTCTAGGCGAATAATACATTAAAATTTCAAATGCTGTTAAAAGAAAAATTTTTAAATGTTTTACTTAAATTTTAATATTAAAATCTTAGTCTAGATGAAATGTATTATTATAACTAATTATTTCTGCATTCGTTTAACTATAACTATATGTAAATTATACAATCAGATTGTGATTCGATTTATCTGTTTTATATTTATTTATTAGCTATATTCCTTCAAAAAATTTGGTACGTGATCTACGTACAAATCAAACCTTTGTATTGGATCCAAAAAATAAATCATCATCCGTGTATCAGAATTTTGCCAATGATCGTGATGCAAGTAAATGGACCGATTGTTGCCAGGCTGCTATTGACTGTTGTGATAAGATGCTGAGTGATCCTCCTTTGCCAAAAACAGGTAATTTCCAAGTTATTTTTCAAGCAATAAATATTATTTTATTTTTAAAGCTTTCAATTTGTGTGAGAAGAATAAAATTTATAAACATTGATAAATATTTCAAAAGATTTAATTATTTTTCAAATATTTTAAATTGTCTTTACTATATTTAATTAAATTTTTCAAAAACGAAATGTTGAACAATGACAACAAATAGAATTTGAATTGATAAAAATTAAATAAAACGTTTACTTCTAAAGTATAATTAGAAATTAATTAATAATTATAAAGAGGATATTAAAAAAATTTTCCACTTCACTTATGTCAATTCTGTACTTTATGTAATTATTGACCTCATTAGATATCGTAAAAAGATCAGATTTTATCAGGGTATGTAAACATGTAATTCGTTAACGTCGTATTATTTAGTTTACTTTCTTGTTATTTTCTTTATTTTCCATAAAATAAAAATCACATTTTTTATTTTTCATTAAGGAAAAGAACTTCAAATATCCTTAATGGTAAAATAATTGCGATTATACGTACAACGAGATTAAATATTATAACTAAAAAACAGATTTCTTAAGGAATTTATTGTATTTTTAAAAAATTAATAATAATAATAATAGATTGTTTCAAATTTGAACCTTTACGTCTTTTGCAAATCTTGACGTTTTTAAGACTCCAGAATTCAAAACATCAAAAAACGGGGAAAATTCCGTGTGTATGTGTGGGCATATGTGTATGTAAGTGTGTTTGTGTTTGTGTCTATTTTGTTTTAAAAAATTTTGCATGATAATTTGAATATAAGGTGTATTAATGCTGTTAAATTTTGGAGGATGGAAAGATAGAGACGTTCATGTATCATTTTGAGTGGAGTCGAACTTAAATGAAAATTTTACTCATTATTGGCATTTACAATATTTTAAAACCTCATCTCTATCTTCAAACTAAGCCCTTTTTTTTCTTTTTATAATAATTAATAATATAAAAGTTATTTTTAATAACAATCCATAATACATGACGCAACACACAATTTGAACTTTGAGCTAGTGTCATAAAGTTTTTTAAAATTGAATATGTTTTAAATAGAGATTTTTATTATAAGTCAACAAAATTATCTTTAACATTTTTATTATTACTCAAGTTTTATATTCTAATATAATTGAAAATTTTCGGACTTTCTAATGATCTTCTCAATCCTGTTCAACTGCCAAGAAAGTCGAGTAAGAACCAGGCTAGCTTTTATTAGATTTTTTTTTACTCCAAGATTAAATGAAATTTTACATTTCTATTTTAATTGATTTAATTTTTTAAATGTTGATTTGACGAAACTCAAATTGCGTATGCGATTCATCTCAAAAAATACGTTTGAAACATTAATTACTTTATTACTTTTGTATTAAAATGGAAACTAAAGCTCGTAAAACTTTAAAATGAAGTTCATAAACCTTTCTTTACGTCCTATTCAATTTTCATGAAACATTATTTTGATATAGTTATATGTTATTTTAATATAGATAAAAAGTACTGTCCAAGAACGTGGGATGGTTGGCAATGTTGGCCAGATACTTTAGCAGGAACGACAGCATCGGGAGTTTGTGAAAATCACGTTTACTTTAAAAGTCAATTACCAAAATGTCAAAGTAAGTAATGAAAGTGATAGAAGAAAAAAATTAATTATATATACTTATGATAATAGCAAATTATTTTAGAGTATGCAATGAAAGAATGTTTACTTAATGGTGAATGGTATAAAGCGAACGGTAGCGAATGGACTGATTATAGTGGATGCGGTGCTAGAGATGTAAGTTTTTATGTTTGATAGTTTAAGTTTTAAAATGAAATTATTAAAATGATGTTTTATATCTGATTAGGTCTACGTTAAATCTATTATATTTCATCTGGTTTGTTTTGGAATATCTATACTTGCTTTAATACCTGCTATTATTATTTTTTCGAGTTACAGGTAAGTGTGTTTATAAATTATAAAATAGATTTAGAAAATTTTAATTAAGATTAATTTTTATCGTTTTTAATTCTATTTTCAGAAGCTTAAAAGTATACAGAATTACAATACATAAAAATCTATTTTCATCATGTTTAATGACAGCTCTATCTGTTATTATTTTTAAAGCTGTTGTCATACTTGATCAGACTAAGGCTAATAGTAAGGATTATTTAAATAAAAATTCGGTATGTAATTAAAGTTATAGCTAATTTAATCATTTTTGAAAAAATAAAAAATTTATACCCATGACAGTTTCTTAACTTTCTGTAGGCTTGGTGTAAATTATTATTTATTTTAACTAAATATTTTCGTCTGACAAATTATATGTGGATGTTCTGTGAAGGATTTTATTTACATAAATTGATAGTCTCTGCATTTACAGAACAGAAAAATCTTTATCTATTTTATTTTATTGGATGGGGTAAGTTTGACCAATAAAAATGGTAACTTTGTGATTTTAATAAAATATTTTAAATAATAATTTCTTTATTAATATTTGTTAAAGTAAATTTATATAAAGAAAAATTAATTTTTTATTAATTTCTTTGTAAATTAATTAATAGTAAAGTATATTTATAAATTATATTTCTATCTTATTAAGATATCTAATCATTTCATATTCAAAAAATTTTGAAATTTTTATTTTTGATAGGAATTCCTTTGATAATCATATCAATATATTCATTGTTAAAGCTCTTTCTCGCCGATTCTCAGTAAGTCTTGTTATTGTATTGAACGTTTTTACTTTATTAATTTCGTTTTTATAGTAATTAATACAGAGAGGATGATAATGCAGATCAAATTGAATATTTAAGATTGTCGATAATAAAATTTATCTATTTTTTAGACACTGAATAATACTCGATTATACTTCAATAGTTAATGACATAAATATTTAATTTATATCTTTATTTCTCTTAATTTATATAATTTACTTATTTATATATATTTATAGATAATAGATAGATTATATATTTACTATTTGAATATCTTTATAATCTACGTAGGCTAATATTCTATCGAATAATTTAATTAAAATATTTTGAATGTGAAAGCAATTACAGAGCAATACATTCTGTCTAGCTTACAATACTTTTTTTGTGATGACATATACGTCAAAAAACATTTCACTAGGATAAATTTAGTATAGTATCATCATTTCTCAATATGAAAAACTTTAATAACATAAAATTCCATATAATTTTTTATAATAAATTATGTATTTTTTGAAACAAATTTTACATTTAATTAACAACCGAATCCACACTCAACAGAAAGAATAATTACTAAAATCATCACTAAATACCTTTGGCTACTAAGGCCTCAGATTATCGTCCCATCTCTCTTTTCTGTTATCGGTAAGGTCCTGGATGCCTTAATGGCGGAAAGGATTCTATATCATCTAAACATCAACCACTCTTTACATCCCAATCAGTATGGTTTCAGGAGAGGTAAAGCTACACATCATGCCTTAGAGGGTGTAATTAAATATATTCAAACAGCCAAAAAAGCAGGGAAGCACACTATATTAGTCAGTGTGGATTTTAAAGGTGCGTTCGACCATGCATGGTGGCCAGCCATTTTGGCTAGCCTGGCGAACTCCCACTGCCCCAACAACATTTTCCAATTGCTAAAAAGTTATCTTTCTGAGCGAACTGCCATTGCCATGGAGAATGGAAAAATCATACACCGCTATGATATCACCAGGGGATGCCCACAGGGCTCAAAATCAGGACCTCTCCTGTGGAACATCCTATACAATGGGATCTTCAATCTTACGAACGGCCCTCCCCATGACGGGGACCCTCTGATCTATGGATATGCAGATGACACAGTCATCCTGCTTTCGCATCCAAATCAAGAAGTCCTCCAAGGTCATACGAACAACTTCCTGAAGTTAGTGCACAACTGGAGTAAGGATAACTACCTAAAAATTAATTATAACAAATGTTCGTCCATAGTTTTCCCAAAGAAGAACCCACTCACAAAAAAGCCAACTATTCACATTAATGGGAATAGGATCCAGCATACAACCAATATCAAATACTTAGGGGTCATCCTGGACTCCAAACTGTCCTGGAAAGACCATATAAAATACATCTATGATAAAGCTAACAGCGTCAGCCAAATGCTGCGTTCAATTGCCAGGAACTGCTGGGATATTGACTCGCACAATAGCAAAATTATTTACAAGGGTGCAATTGAACCTATTCTCACTTATGGCTGTGAGGTCTGGGGTTATGTCGCTAACAAGGTCCACATCCGCAGAAAACTCCTCTCGGCCCAAAGAACTGCGGTTATCTTCATAACAAAATCATATGCCACTGCCCCAACTGATGCTCTCCTTGTAATCGCAGGCTTAATCCCAATCAATCTAATCATTACCTACAAGTTTCTAAAGAACCTCATCATTAAGTCTATCCTCACCAATAAACACACAGATGCCATCCATAAGACGCTGGACAATCTAAAAGTCCCTAAATCTGTACATACTTTAGTGGACAAGATTATCAACCTTGGGCTGGACCTAAACCTCTCCCAACCAGCAATACACCCGGCCAACATTATCTCTAACAACTTTGACCTACAACACCTTCCATCTGTAAAGGGCCTATGCATATATACAGATGGTTCAAAGGCTCCAGGGGCAGTTGGAGCTGCAGCCTGTCTTGAAGACCCCCACAAAAATTTTTTCTGGAAAGCTGCTTACAAATTAAATGAAAACTGTACAATAAATCAGGCAGAGTCACTTGCCATTTGGAAGTCACTCAATCATATCCATAATAACATCCAATACTATAAAGGTAATAAAATCTACATTATTAGTGACAGCCGTACGGCACTGCACCAAATCAAAAATGAAAATTATAAACTTCCAATCATCCAGAACTGTCTGAACACCATAAAGGCATTGGAAGGAAAGGCTCACATAAGCTTCCACTGGGTCAAGGGGCACTCTGGTACCAGTGGAAACGAAAATGTTGATAAGCTTGCTAAAAATGCCCACATTGTAGCTTCTAACTACTCGTACACAGCAATTCCAGTCTCCTTCTTGTGCAATGAACTTCACTCTGTCATCATGGCTTGGTGGCAATCTGACTGGGAAAACAGCCCCACCGGACGCAACACCTTTCAATTTATCCCAGACGTCATCAGGAGGCCTCACCTGAAGCATCTGAGCACGACTCACGTTCTTACTCAAATCCTAACGGGGCATGGTAACTTCAAAAGTTATTTACACAGGTTCCTTAATAAAGGAAATGGACTATGTGACTGTAACATTCAAGAAAAGGACGACTCTTTCCACCTCATCTTTACCTGCACGAAATTTACTCAACACCGTCAACTGCTACTGCGCAAGGTAACTGACAAGGGACACCATTGGCCCTGTCCCCTCAATGCCCTCATTGAAGACAGGGACACCTATCGGACTTTTGTGCAGTACATTAACAACCTGAGGTTAGCGGACTACCATATTCCAATCAACGGTCAGATTACCTCACCAATATCACCCACGCCCAGTAATCAAGACTCACCGGATCTCGTCTGAAATCCCTCCACATCATCATCACAAACGGTCTACCTACTCTTCGCTGTGCCAATCCTGGCTCCATTCTCAGGATACAGGTTCTCTACTTTGTCTTGCATGTAAGCCTCATAAGGCGCCACCTATCTCATCTGTCCAATCAAATTGTATATAATCTACCTTGTTAATTGTATATCATTTTAAGCTGTTCATTAATCTGTTCCCGGCAGGCTCCCATGGATTCCTCCTTTCCTTTCTACCTCTTTTCCCCTCCCCCACCCCCTACACACATCCCTTCTCTTTCTTCTCCTCCCTCACTCACCCCTTTCTCCCTATCCTATTCCTTCCTTGGCTATACCCTCGAGTTCGGCCAATTACTTTAAATCTTATGTCTTATGTTGTCAGAGTGGTCAGAATCAGAGTCAGATGGCTTAACACGAGTTAGTTATTAAGCGTCAAAGTGGTTGAACTACTAAATCGTGTCCCCATACACATTCTAACGTCTTAGGCGAGAACATCTTAACGGGTTTTACTGTACTATTATAAAATGACAAAAAAAGCTTACTTTGAGGTAGAGATGAGTTTTATTTTTTTATTTTCGTTAATTTTGAACGCTAATAACGTGTAAAATATTCATTAAGAAATATGACACATGACCCCTTTTATGTCTTCACTCTGTCGACTTTTAATTAAGAACCAGAATTTAATAGTATTAATGCCCCTTTATACGCAAGCCACAGTGCCACATTTCGTTTCTTAAACTTTACCCATTCTGAGATATTGTTTAATATTTCAGAACAGAAAATAAAGAAATTAAACAAATTAGACGCCGACACGCGCGCGCTAATTTTTCCCCTTTTATTGACTTTTTTAGAGGTTCGGGAGGTCTCCAAACGTGTAGATTTGCAAAAAAGACTTGGCAAAAGGAATTTCACACGATTCCAATACTTTTCCGTTTTATATACATAACAAATTGGAAAGTAAAACGGAGTCGGAGTTTGCGGATTTTTTGACGACTCCGACTCCGGCTAAAACATCAAAACTCCACGACTTCGACTCCGACTCCGACTCCAGTCCTGGTTTTTGTGGATGGCACTAACACGATTTCGTATATGAGACTAGGGCAAGAGGAAGGAGTAAGAAATGAGATTCAGTTGGAAAAAGTCACTCAATACAATTAATTACATTTAAACATTTATTAGATGGTACAAAAGTTCATGCAGTACGTTATACATCTAAGTAAAACATAGTTTTCGCAGTTACGCACGTTAACATCGCGGAGAGAGAGAATTTAGAGATTTCTGAACCATACGAATCTGAACTAGACATCCCACGTCGAGGAGTACCGGAAATCGGTTTTTGACATTGACTAACCGTACTCGTCGAGGCGAAGCTTCCGGATGTTGGAGAGAAGTAGCACACAAGCAGAATGGCGACGAAAATCCGAAGGCACACATACGAACTTCTGAGAGGTAATAACATACAGGCACAGATCTTAAAAGTTTGAAGAACAGGCGGTCACTGACTAAAGTAGGCCGTTCTTCGTCGTATTCGAAGATGCAAATCTCCTAGAGGTAATTAAAAATCGACAGAAAGGTGTCATAAGATGTCATTATGACACCTTTTAAAACTCTAAAAAAGCGAAAATTGACATATCCTGGCTTCTTATGAGATTATCATCAAGTTATTTATCTTTGTTTTTTTCGATTCTCACAAATTTTTAATTGCAGGTTATCTTTTCTTATTTATCAATGTAGATGTTTATATTTCGTTATAACTCTGTAAATGCTTTATTAGAATCAGATTAGGAAACACTAAAAATATTCCAAAATACAGCAATAACTTAGAATAGATCTTAAGTAAGAAAATTTGAAATTAAAAAGTGAAATAAGAACACACAAAGGCTGTGATTTTATATTGAAATTCTGTATAAATATTTACCTTGGTAAAACACTATTTTATTTTTGTAAATCATTTAATATTACATTGAAATTTTAATAACGTTTGTAAAGAAATAATATTATAATTTTGTTTAATTTTAACAAATATTAGCTATTTTTTATATAATTAAATAATATTGTATTATTCATTTTTTGTGTATAGATGCTGGTCCCTTCCAACAAATATTTTTGAGTGGATTACTAATGTTCCAATGATAATCGCTTTGCTTGTAAATACTTTTTAAAAAAATACTTAATATGTTTAATTACTCGTATTTATGAATTCAAGATTTATAATTAACTTTTTACAGGGTAATTTAATATTTTTATGTGATATTAATCGAGTGTTGCTTACGAAGCTGAGACATCAGAGCAATCCTAATGAGCCAACTCAATACAGGTAAGAAAATTAACAAATGAACTGTTGAATTTGAAAGTAAATTTATTTCTTCATATTTTTAAGAAATTTTAGAAAAAAATTTAATGTAAATAATAGCTATTTTATAATATTTTGGATAAGTCACCAATCTTCTCTCTAAATTGTAAGAATCAGCATACCTATAGTGCGTTTAGCTTAAGTCTTTTAATAATGGATAATTATATATAGTTATTGGTAAAAAAATAAATTATTCTACTGAAATTATTGTGAAATGAATAGCTAAATATAATTTATATTTTCGTTAATTTTATTAATAAACAACTACAGGAATTTAACTTTATATCATCTAATTACGATGAAACATTTAATAAATTATTTTGTTTTAGATTTGTCAAGATATTTTGATACTAAAATGTTATAGGAAAATAAAAAGACAGAGAGAAAATGAAGTAATAAATTATTACTAAAAATGATGCATTTTTTCAAAACTCATTTTACTTAAAATTATCCTTAGAAAATCACATTTTAAAAAATAAATACTATAATATAATTCGTGAAACAAAATTTTTTAGAAGTTTGGTTCATATCTTTTGTATCGAAATGTAATCGAAACGAACTTCAAAATAAATAGAAATAAAATGAACTTTTTAAATCAAATATTTAAAATTTATTTTAAAAATAATACTGTATATATAGCATTTTTCATTACAAATGATTTGTTTTATATATAATATTCTTAATGTGAATATTAATAATTGTTGTGTCTGTTATGATGCCAGATAAAAGAAAATTCCATTATTTTGTCATCGGATGCTTTATTTATGAAATATTACAGTAGTGTGATACGCACAAATGAGTTTGTTTTTGATTACTTTGATAAAGTAATAAATTATGCAAGCTTTGTAGAATATTTAAAACTTTATAACTAAAACAACCTGAATGAATCTCAAATCCTCTGTAATACAAAGATTATAATTTTGTAATATCTATTTATATATAATTTTCATTGTAAAAAAGCATTAAAATAGCCAAGTTTATGTAGCGATCTCTTTTCTGTTGATAATGTCCAACGTTCGTTTTTATTCCTAGTTTTACGATTGTAATTCAATAATTAATTGCTCAGATGCATTTTTTATATTATACGTAAAAGTACAGATTAGTCTGATAATATCAATCGGACATAACGCGTGTAACCGGCCGGATGGACTAACAGACACTTTTACCATTTTAATCAGCCACTCTAAGGAATCTGAGTTCAAATTTGAACCAGGCCAGGAAGTCAGGCCTTAAGAATATAAGGCAGTTTCAGAATATTGGAGTAAGCCAACTATGGATACTTGTCCTACTAAAACATTTATAGAATTCTAAGTTAACAGACTCAAATATATAATTCCTTAGACACTTATGAACTATTTGAAAACAAGTTATATCTGTCTTTAATGAATGTGTTATAAAAATAGATTTACAGAATTATTTTTTAAAAGGAGTTTTTATGTATTTTTTTGAAAATGTAATATTTCGATTGTATTATATTAAGGATGAAGAAAATTATTATATTTTCATAAAGCTGATAAAACGCTGATATTATTTAGGCTAATAAAAAATTTTAAAATTAAAAATAATATTATTAAACATATTATATCAATAAAAAGTAGATTACGATAAGTTGTAAATGCTTATTAAAATTTGAAATGACTTTTTATTCGAAAAAAATAAGAGTAAGTACCGTACATTTTTCATTAGTCATGCTAATCTATCAAGACAAAAACTTTGAGTAAAATATTTCTTAAATGAATTATAATTAATCTAATTCTATAAGCGATTTTTAATTCATTGTGTATTAAAAAATTTACAAAATTATTACATTGAACTTATTAGTCAGCAAATGTGTATTTATTTTTTTCCTTAATTAAAATTCCTCATTTGAAATATTTATTTAGTTTTATTCTTACACATCTTCAGCTCTTCGTGCATTTTATTTTTTCTCTTGTGTAGAAGAGAAAGGAAATAAATTAAAAAGTAATTGATTTAAAATTTAAATACATCGTGATAAATATGATTATTTTTTTACTAGAGTAAGGAATTTTCATTAATAAATATTTATAAAGATCTTGTGCACGACACATAGAATATTTTTAAAACTTTATGTTAAATCATTTAATATTACATTGAAATTTTAATAACGTTTGTAAAGAAATAATATTATAATTTTGTTTAATTTTAACAAATATTAGCTATTTTTTATATAATTAAATAATATTGTATTATTCATTTTTTGTGTATAGATGCTGGTCCCTTCCAACAAATATTTTTGAGTGGATTACTAATGTTCCAATGATAATCGCTTTGCTTGTAAATACTTTTTAAAAAAATACTTAATATGTTTAATTACTCGTATTTATGAATTCAAGATTTATAATTAACTTTTTACAGGGTAATTTAATATTTTTATGTGATATTAATCGAGTGTTGCTTACGAAGCTGAGACATCAGAGCAATCCTAATGAGCCAACTCAATACAGGTAAGAAAATTAACAAATGAACTGTTGAATTTGAAAGTAAATTTATTTCTTCATATTTTTAAGAAATTTTAGAAAAAAATTTAATGTAAATAATAGCTATTTTATAATATTTTGGATAAGTCACCAATCTTCTCTCTAAATTGTAAGAATCAGCATACCTATAGTGCGTTTAGCTTAAGTCTTTTAATAATGGATAATTATATATAGTTATTGGTAAAAAAATAAATTATTCTACTGAAATTATTGTGAAATGAATAGCTAAATATAATTTATATTTTCGTTAATTTTATTAATAAACAACTACAGGAATTTAACTTTATATCATCTAATTACGATGAAACATTTAATAAATTATTTTGTTTTAGATTTGTCAAGATATTTTGATACTAAAATGTTATAGGAAAATAAAAAGACAGAGAGAAAATGAAGTAATAAATTATTACTAAAAATGATGCATTTTTTCAAAACTCATTTTACTTAAAATTATCCTTAGAAAATCACATTTTAAAAAATAAATACTATAATATAATTCGTGAAACAAAATTTTTTAGAAGTTTGGTTCATATCTTTTGTATCGAAATGTAATCGAAACGAACTTCAAAATAAATAGAAATAAAATGAACTTTTTAAATCAAATATTTAAAATTTATTTTAAAAATAATACTGTATATATAGCATTTTTCATTACAAATGATTTGTTTTATATATAATATTCTTAATGTGAATATTAATAATTGTTGTGTCTGTTATGATGCCAGATAAAAGAAAATTCCATTATTTTGTCATCGGATGCTTTATTTATGAAATATTACAGTAGTGTGATACGCACAAATGAGTTTGTTTTTGATTACTTTGATAAAGTAATAAATTATGCAAGCTTTGTAGAATATTTAAAACTTTATAACTAAAACAACCTGAATGAATCTCAAATCCTCTGTAATACAAAGATTATAATTTTGTAATATCTATTTATATATAATTTTCATTGTAAAAATGCATTAAAATAGCCAAGTTTATGTAGCGATCTCTTTTCTGTTGATAATGTCCAACGTTCGTTTTTATTCCTAGTTTTACGATTGTAATTCAATAATTAATTGCTCAGATGCATTTTTTATATTATACGTAAAAGTACAGATTAGTCTGATAATATCAATCGGACATAACGCGTGTAACCGGCCGGATGGACTAACAGACACTTTTACCATTTTAATCAGCCACTCTAAGGAATCTGAGTTCAAATTTGAACCAGGCCAGGAAGTCAGGCCTTAAGAATATAAGGCATTTCAGAATATTGGAGTAAGCCAACTATGGATACTTGTCCTACTAAAACATTTATAGAATTCTAAGTTAACAGACTCAAATATATAATTCCTTAGACACTTATGAACTATTTGAAAACAAGTTATATCTGTCTTTAATGAATGTGTTATAAAAATAGATTTACAGAATTATTTTTTAAAAGGAGTTTTTATGTATTTTTTTGAAAATGTAATATTTCGATTGTATTATATTAAGGATGAAGAAAATTATTATATTTTCATAAAGCTGATAAAACGCTGATATTATTTAGGCTAATAAAAAATTTTAAAATTAAAAATAATATTATTAAACATATTATATCAATAAAAAGTAGATTACGATAAGTTGTAAATGCTTATTAAAATTTGAAATGACTTTTTATTCGAAAAAAATAAGAGTAAGTACCGTACATTTTACATTAGTCATGCTAATCTATCAAGACAAAAACTTTGAGTAAAATATTTCTTAAATGAATTATAATTAATCTAATTCTATAAGCGATTTTTAATTCATTGTGTATTAAAAAATTTACAAAATTATTACATTGAACTTATTAGTCAGCAAATGTGTATTTATTTTTTTCCTTAATTAAAATTCCTCATTTGAAATATTTATTTAGTTTTATTCTTACACATCTTCAGCTCTTCGTGCATTTTATTTTTTCTCTTGTGTAGAAGAGAAAGGAAATAAATTAAAAAGTAATTGATTTAAAATTTAAATACATCGTGATAAATATGATTATTTTTTTACTAGAGTAAGGAATTTTCATTAATAAATATTTATAATGTAAAAATATTTCAGAAAAGCGGTTCGTGCAACTTTAGTTCTAATTCCGCTCTTCGGTCTACACTCATTTTTGACCATCTACAGACCAAATTCATCGGGTTCCTGTCAACATCAAGAAGCTTACAACTACGTAGAGTACGCAATGGACGGATTACAGGTATTTATCCACTTTTGTTTTCATGGATAATCAAATATTCACATTTTAATTAATTGAATACGTCTTATTAAGGCTGCTGTGATTTCTATAATATTTTGTTACGGCAACAGCGAAGTAAGTATTTATTATTTTTTAAGAGTTCGTTCTAAATTTTATAAAGTGTTATTAATTAAATAAAACATTACTAGTTAGTTTTTTAATAGATATTTTAAAAGATATTCTTAAAAATATATTTAAAAATAAAAAGCAATACGTACTTTAGTACTTTATTATTATCCATGCTAATTCATATAATGAAATAGAATTTATAACTACGAAAAAATGTATAACAATAATAATAATAAAATTAATACTTTAATACATTTAAAATATTTCAAATATATTTTAACCAAAACAAACTATTTATAATTTGAAATCATGTGATTCACCTAGTTCGTTTCCATAATTAGTTACATACTTCGTTTTTGAACTAAAAATGGAAGATTTATGACAAACAAGTAGTGTAGGGTGTCAAAATATTTACGATATATAAAAATAAACTTTATATAGCTAACCCTTGGAATAATTCTTGAAAGAAAGATACCAATTCATATTAATTTTTTAAAAAATCATTGGTTTGTGTTTTAACATGATATAAAAATATTTATATTTAATTTTAAAATTTTTATTAATTTGTAGCGACAAAAATAAAAATCTAAGAAAAAATGTACTTAAAATATTGTATATATAATAACGACAACGAAAATATACATTTAAAAAAAATGGAATCCTCTTAATATATCTTTCAAAAACATTAGTGGAGTCAACCTTTTCCTACAGGATTTTTGTATCCGTTCTGTCTTCAAACTGTACATATTTTAAATGTATTTCCTATAAGACTTTTATTTCTATTGTCATACAATTTTTGCAAGTTTTTAGAAGAACTTTTAAAGCAAAATCTTGCATATTTTAAACGGAAAAGAGCCTGTGCGATAAGGTCATCTCCATGATGTTTTCATTGTGCTCTTATTTATGTTTATTTTTTAAGGTCTGTACATTTTCACCCTAATTTGTAAAAGGTTTACAGATTTCTTTTATTTACACGCTACACCTATATACGTACTTTAAAACGTCGATAATTTGCAATTAAAATTACTTACTCCCTTAAATAAACGTTTTAAAAAACAGGTTCGACGTTTCCTCTTCTTTCGATCCACGTCGTCTTCAGTAAGTTTTCGTCAATTTAAAATAAATTTCTATTCAAAAANGTAAAAAATACATTTTTTTTTAAACTTTGAAATGACTGAATTATAATGCTATTTTTAAGTTTAATGTTTCAAAATATTTTTTTAATCCGACCAAAATATGTTTAAAACATCAAAATCTTTTATTATATATTCAGTAAAAATGCTTTTTCAGATTATAGGTTTATTAAAAAGAAGTTTAGAACGGCAAAAATTGAAAAAAATTGGTAATAATAGGAGAACCAATGATAGGACTGCTGTATCTCTATCTACTGTAACAAGATCTTCGACAATATCTATTTCTAGTGACCACAATTCAACAGTGTAAATGTCATTTTTATATATATACAAACGCGTATCACATTTATTCGTTTATATATCTCAATTGCTGATACATATATCAATGAGAAACAGTGGCGGCTCGTAAGAATCTGTTGTGGTGGGACTGTAGCAATAAAAGTAAAAAAAAATTCAATAGGGATTAAAAAGTACATCATTAATAAAAGTAAATATGTATACATATATATAAATTTACTTATGATAAATTAATTAATAAAAATTTAAGAATGGCGATAATAACACAGTTTTATTTTATACTGGAGAGGCTGCAACCTGCAGCCCTTATGGATGAGCCGCCACTGATAAGAATATTTAGTCAACCTCCAAACAGCGGCCATTCTTTCATAAACTATTTTTAACAAAAATGTGTACAAAATAATCTTCAAACAGCGATCATTTTTTATGTTCTCGTCAGTGTTTGTTTATAGGTTTGACAGTATTTCTTTCTTTCCGTAAGTATAAAAAGAACGTTCTTTGTATGTTTATGTTCTTTTATAAAGAGGATCATCAAATATCTGGTTTATTGCCTAAAAGCTAAATTATCTTAAAACACTTAATAGTTGGCTCTAAGATTGTTTGTTGGATAATATCGCGACATACACTAACATCAAAGCTATAAAAAGTTTATTTTCTACTAAAATAAAATAAAGAACTTTAAATAAACAAAATTATGTTACATTTTTATAGTGATTACATTATCAGTTTTCTTTTAATCTGCTTTAATGATGTAAATTCTAAAGAAAAAAAATAGGCAATACAAACTAATTAATTTATTCTAATAAAAAAAATTTATTTATCATTTAATTAGTCTTTATTTTCACTTAATCACTATCTAGTTATAAATAAACTACAGTAATTATGACAAAATTAAATTATATAAGTATCTAAATCTGAATTAAGACTGATCAAAATGCAAATGTATTAAATATCTGAAATTTCTTTATATGTCATACAGAAAATACTCTCATTAAATTCTGTTCTGACTATTATATAAAAATTACTGGATATTAAATTATTGTCAATTTGCTCGTAAAATCCATTTAAAGAAGAAAAGATGAAAGAAAACTTCATAAAAGTTCACTCCTAATCGATTTTGATAGATCATGGCATTTACTTAAGAGAAACTGATTGGATGAAATTAAATGGCACAAAAACGTGCCAATCTGTCTCATTTTGGTTGAAATTACTTCCATTTAATGAGTTTAAAAAAATCATTAATAATTAAAATGTACTTTTGATTACTATTAACAGAATCGGTTCAGTGATTCGACCGTTTCATGAAAGAGATGAATTAAGTAATTTTATAATTAAGACGTCGTTAGATGTTGTATTGTAACGTCGAAGAAAAATCGATACAGTGCGAGACGTATGTAGTTTCGACTTCATATAAATTACTCATTGTTAAAATAATATTTTGTTAATTAAATATTAAGTAATTTAGAATTGATTTTTTTCGTAAAATTCATAAATAAAAAATATTTAAATAACTTCATACTAGTACATTAAATTATCAAGAATTAATAATAATATACTGTACATACATGATAATTAAACGAACAAAAATAATGTATTTAAAATTTAATTAATTATCTGTTTTAATTGACTACTAAAGTATTTTTCTTGTTTCTTTTTTGGAAATAGTTTCAGTTTGAACTAAAAATATTATCATAAAAATTTACTATAAAGTAAATATTTGCATTTATAAATTATTAATTAAAGAAATATATTTTTAAGTTTTTGTTTCACGTTGCTTCATTTCTAATTAAAATTTTAAAGAATAAACAAAATTTTATATAACTTTGAATTAAGCTTCTATAATTATTATTTTTTAAAAGATTATTAATTATTTTAGGAATTAATCAATTAAAATAATTACAACAAACACTACATTTTAATTAATTTTAGTTTTGTAAAAGTGAAATGTAATCACATGAGCTTAAATATTAATTCTTAAACAAAAATCACCAAAAAATATATTTTTTTTTATTGATAAGCTTTATATTCATATTTTGGTATTAATTAATTATCAAACTTTAAGATAATTATACGAGTTTAATTATATTCTTTTCGGAGGAGACATTATTAATCATTGAATCATTAGTATTTACTGAATATTTGATTCACATTTACAAAATCTTTAATCTTTTCATCGCTAAAAATATGAAAAGTGAAAACTCGAGTGAGATAATACAATTTATTATTTCAAAGTTTAAAAAGTCTCAGGTTTAATACGCGATACTTTTTATAAAATTTCTTAAATTAGATTAAACACTAAATACGTTAAAAATCTGCAAAACTCTAAAATTATTTTCTTTTCTTCTATAAATATTGCTACCAATTTGGCTATTAATGAGGACTTAAGGCACCATAATCAAAATGTGACGAGATTAGAACTTATTTTTTTAATTAAACTCTAAAATGTGCAGTAAATTTCGGGTCTTTTGACCGCTCTTCAGTTGGAGAATACAATTTTCATAAACAATTAAATTCGTAAATTTTAAATAAATTACAGTGTTTTATATATTTAAATTTAAGTGTAACCTAATGTATACTTACAACTGTAATTTAAAATTTTCATATATAATTTTCATCTTTCAAGTACAATTATTTAAACAACTCTAAAATTAATTTTATTATCTTTATTATCTCAATAAAATGTAATCGAGTATATAAAAATAATATATTATCATCACTTAACATTTTACACGTGATCACGATTCTTCTGTTACTAATGAATACGAGCTACAATGAAACGAATCTAAGATTAGATAACATTGCTTCTCCTTATAAGTTTTCAAAATAAATTTTAAATAATTAAGAACAATGTAATTTACTTAATGACAGGATGGCCAAAATGGTTAATGCACCAGCATTAACCGTTTTGGCCATCGAATACGTCGATCCAATCCCTCTTAGTGGCCACGTGGCCGAAAAGAGACTCCCAAAAAATCATATTTATCATATTTATAGATGTAGATTTTGCATTAAAATAATATATAAAATGAGATGCACATCGTTATGACGAAACAAACTGATAATTGCCTCAGTTACTTAAAGAGTAATAAACGAATAAGGTTTCATTTTAAGCTGATATAATTTGTTTAATTTATCATACAAACTATCTTAGCTTATTTTATTCAGTTTATTTATCTCGTATACTTTTAACATTATAATTTTCCAAATAAAATGTTTAAAATTTTATGAGTTTATTTAAAATTTATGAAAAGAGAACATTCTAAGTCATAATAAAACGTTGCAACTATTAGATTGATATTTGATAGAAATATACTGTCAATGGATGAAGAAATGTGGCATATTTATCTTTTAGTATAAATCTGCAATATTCAAAACCTGCTTTTCTACAAAATAAATCTGAAAGAATGCAAAAATTTGCATGAATTAAAATAGACTTTTTATGTCTATGCTAATCCATACTGTTCCAAATGAATTTAATCATTTTCTCCGTGTTTCTCTGGAGGTTTGCGTTATTGCAAAGTTTTAAGAATTATTATAATTACAGAAAAGTGCATTTTAATGGAGTCCTAACCTTCTACATTATAAAAAAATTTTAATGATCGAAATTATGTTCTAAGATAATTTTTCTTAAAAGAATTACAAGAAATAATAAACTAAGTCATAAATATATTTGAATTTTTTTGTAAACGATATCTTAATATTGTAATAAAATTTTGAAATTTTATTGCACTTTGATATGATTCATTTCTTAAATATTCAAGAAACAATACAACTTAAGATATAAACTTCAAAATTTCAAATACAAGAGCATTCACTTTTATTTTGTATGTTTTCTTACATAATTTTCCAATAAACTGACAAATTTGTGAACATCGAATAAGTTATAATTTATTTCTAATTGACATCCGGTAAATTGATTGCGAAAAATTGTGAAACCGAATAGATCCGTATAGAAAACTTGTCATACGATATTAGATATTTTCAATTAATTGTCATATGGAAAACTGCTACAACGAGATAACGTATGGTGAATTGTCGAGATTCCATAAAGATAAGTAATATTTTAAACTGAAACAAATCCTTTGTCAATAACTTTAACCCACTTTATTTAAAATTTTTTTATTGACTGTTTTAATATTCTTTAATTTACTTCCGAAATTAATTTGTTTTAATTTTTATTTATTAATATTCTATAACATTAATTACCATATTTTTCTTGTGATATCGTTGAAACCATTATGCTTTATTATTTATTTCTCTTTTGATTTTACTTTTAACAATTACTTCGTATAAAAGGTACTGTACAGTACATATCATTATTTCAGTTAAGTTATACAAAAGATTGTAAAAATAAAATGCTTTTTTATTAATGTATACAAAAAACGAATTTGTTCTCCTTTATTATTGCAACATTCCTTTTAATTCATACCTGCAAAACATCATTCTTAAATTATACATTACGTATAATTTAAGTTAACTTGTAGTCATACTGAGTCATCTATTCAGCGAATTGTTGTTAAAACAATCCCTCTCAAACTGTTAACATGTCGCCTACATGTGAAATTACATTAAAGATCATTATGATGAAGTTTAAAAATGTTCCAGCCATAAAACGATTTGCGAAAGAAGATTTGGATGAGATCCAAAATTTGTTCATCTTCTAAGAGCACTTGGAATTTTATCTGTACTTCTTAAACTGTAAACAAAATAAATTTTAGACTTTATTCACAACATAATATTTCTACAGAGTAAATTTAAGAAAAAAAAATTTTTTGATGGCTAAAACAAAAGATAAATATCAGTTCTTAAAATAACAACTGTAATTATTTCACAGATTTTTTCTAATTTTTCAATTTATCTTCGTTCTTCGACTCTACAATTTATATATTATTATATTAAAAATAGTATAGCATCTTCATAACACATAAATAAAGTCAAATAACCCTATAAAGATCAAAGAAATATAAAAAGGAAATTATCAAATACTGTTAATATAATTTTAACTTTTATAAAATAAAATAATCCATTTTCGAATATTCAATTTAAATTTTAATTTCGCACTAAAGAATTATTAAATTCTCCTCTGATTACATAAGTCTAGTAATTATTTTCATTTATTACGAAGCGATATAATTTAAATTTAATTAATTAATTAGAAAATTAGCTGTCGCGCAATTAATTAATTATCGGTTGAAAGTTAAAATATTAGATAATTATCTCATTTAAATATTCTAAAAACTGTTTTAAAAAATACTGTTATGTGATTGAAATGTTCGGTGATGAATAATATAAAATGTAAATATCTAAAAAAATATAGCATCAATATGTTTTAATTGACTGTATACAAAAATCAATAATAAAGATGAAGCAATATCAATGAAATTTGTTTAACATGATTACTTTATGCTGAGTATTTTTTAAGTTAGAAATCAGCCATTGTACGCAATGACTGATTAGAAATACAAAGACAGCAATATTAATCAATATTGATGATCTAAACGATAAAACTCAACTTTAATGCATTCAATATTAATGATTTGATCAAGGAATCTGATTATTATTAACATCTTAGATATAATTTATCATAAATATTCTATATGTACAGTACTTCTACTTATTTTGCTTTAACGCTAGACAGTATAATTACATTTATTTTCATACATTANTGTTTATATCCTCGTAAACATTTT